ACTAGATCTAGATATGAATCGATAAGAAGTTGCTAACTGGCTCCACCACGTGACCACTGACCAAGTTCGATCAATCGTGACCTGACCCTCTTGTCTGGCCGTTTGCGCTTCCATGTCAGATGCTCGCACGTGTATAGATGAGCCCCTGGTCATTTTTGTTTAGAATCGGACGTATCGAGGCGCTTATGAGCAAAGCATCGCCAACAAAATTCGGGAGTGCGAATGAGTTACGTGAGCCTGCTCTTTCCAGGTGACGTCATAGGTCCAACGCTAATTTTCGGACATGTTGGGGACACAGCTGCATTTACCAAAGCTTGACCGCTAACAATGCTGGCGGTATATGAAGCTGCTCGCCGGTAGAGGTTTGTAGGTCTTCTGCTGTGGCATTCCGTCTGTTGGCCTTCCTGCCTGTTCGTCAATCGGCCTGTTGGAGAAAGAGGCATGCAAACAGAAAAACGGAGTTTCTGACAGAGATGCACAGACAGAAAACAGACTTTCTGACAGACATATAGACCAAAAAACAGGCTTTCTAACAGACCTACAGACAGAAAAGCAGATTTTCTGACGGAGACATACGGACAGAAAAGCAGAGTTTCTGGCAGAGACCTACAGACAGAAAAGCAGAGCTTCTGAAAGAAACATGCAGACGGAAGAGCAGAGCTCTGACAGACATACGTACAGAAAAGCAGACTGTGACAGACCGTTAGTCTATAGAGGCATTAGTCATTAGTCTAATTGTGTTTCCAGACTGTTGTTAAATGACCATCCGATGAGCGCCATATGCATAGTAAGCTGTTCGAACAGACTGTTGTTAACAGACTGCCCCTCTGCCTGTTTGTCTTTCTGACTGTTTGCTCTCCCGTATTCCCGTCCGACTGTCTGCCAGTCTGGCCGTTTGTCTACCTGTCTGTTTGTCCTGCTGTCTTGCTGTCCGTCTGTCGGCCCGTCTGGCCGTTTGTCTGCCTGTCTATCTGTTTGTCCTCCTGTCTTGCTATCCGCCCGTCTGCCCGTCTGGCTGTTTGTCCGTCTGTCTGCCTGTCTGTCCGGCCGGAATGCCGTCCACTTCTCACTGGGTCTCAGCGACAGCTGTGCTCTAGATTTGAACCCGGCAGAGGCGACGGCCGACTGCGTTCCAACCAACCGTGACCGCTGTACCGGCTCCCTGGCTTACGGTCCACCGTGACCGCTGTACCCGGTCCCCGGCTCAAAGTACAGCGGTGATCGCTGTACCCTGTCCCCGGCCCACAGCACAACAATATCATTCCTTCACCAGAGGGAGAAGGGGGGGGGGGCTTGCGGACAGGTGCCTTGAAGTTTACAAAGATCAGGCTTTGCTACCTGGATTTCAATCATTTGCACGCTTCTCAGAATGCACGTGTGTTCATAAATCCCTTGATAAAGACGTCATATCTGGTCAGCTTTCCTCCAGATTTCTTAGACTTTACTGCAAACATCCGGATTTGTCGCCTGATTTCTGAGGTTTGGCGGTGCGAGTGCTCCAGACGTTAAGCCCCGATCGAGTGAAACCAATCCCAACGAACCCATTCGTTGTCGGGCCCTCAAGTGGGCCACAACCTGACATCCCGCTCATGTTTCCGATGACGTTCCAGTTTGGTCTGAACTAAAGAGCCCTGACCGGTAACATGACCTGGTGAGTTCAGATGCCGCTGTCCAGTCGCACGGTAGGTGCCGACGCCGGCCGCAGTCTCGCGACGACATTGGCATGGAGGTGGTTGCCAGTCGATCTGCGTCCTCTGGCAACATCCCAGATTAGTTGGTAGTTCAGCCGTGCTAGCTTTTATGATTTTTACAAGGGTGGGGAAAGAGCATAACCCTACATCATGGTCCCTGCCGTTTCCTCTCCAGGGGAGACCAGGTCGTTGAGGTCCTGACCGGATTTGATTAGGCCATCTTTGGCGAACAGCGATGCTTTTATTTTCCACCAAATTGACGTAATACATAGCTGTATGGAGCAGGGGCGGATCTAGCCTGGAGCATTGGGGGGGGGGGGGGGGGGGCAACCGTTCGTCGCCAGCTGGCTGGTGTGGGATCCGAGGTCCAGCGCATGGTGCCTCTCGCGAGTACCTAGTAGGGACACCATGTGAAACCGAAAAAAGCGCCGAATTGCTTTTGAATTTTAAACATAAGTTAAAACAAAACACAGTTGTGTTAAAAAAACGGTTGAAGTTAAAACAGACGGTAAGTAGACAAAACTTTATGAAGTTCTGGGAATGTTTTTGGGGGGCAGAACATAGTCTCAGAGGTTTTGGGGGGGGGGGCATTGGCCCCGTGTCCCCACCCCCCACCCCCGCCTCAGGATCCGCCTATGGTATGGAGCTCATATTAACGTCAGTCAAGAGAAGTGACGTCAGGCTGCATTCTTTTGTGATGGTCCTGGCTCCCAGAATGTTGATTTAAGCCCTTTCAATATTGAACCAAGCCTCCAAATACTTGACGTTGAAATGCTCAAAAAAGGAAAACTTGCACACAAAACTTATCTCCTTTGGACAAGTTGTTGGCTATGACTAAACGCGGCTCTAATAAAGGAGTTTGAAACAAATTTCATCACAACAATGGTCTGGGAAGTCCATATATTGCGTTACACGTGGAGGGGAGAGGTTGGTTTCTTGAAGCGTTTTAAAAGCGGAAGTAAGGAGGGAGGGAAGATTTTAAACAGGGTAGCGTTACGTTCAAGAGTGATTAAAAATTACGCCAAAATCCTCAAAAAATAGAGTTAAACCTTAAATATGGATGCCGTTGGCTTCTTCTCATGACGTCGAAGACGCCTCTTATTCGTTTCGCATCTCTAGCTCATTTAGGGGTCAAACGAAAAATAGCTTATCCAGAGGGGGTGAGGGTTGCGTACAGCATAACTAGTGCGTAGCCAGGAAGAAGAGAGGATTGAAATGTCGAAGAAACGCGTAGCGTAATTCATGGAAGGCCATTTTGGTTAAGCAGATCAGTATGAATTACCTCAATGGGGGTACCGCGTCCGGAAGTGTAGCGACTGAGCTGCTCGTCTGGACATAAAAGGAACGAGGCTCGATTTCCCGTGGTGCTTGGGTTTATGGATAATCGTCGCTGCCTATGGTTTCAGTTTAATTCAATTGTGTTTAGCCAGGCTGCACTAGCTCGGCGTATATCCCGTCAGATTTGGCACTGCGCCAATAAACCTTGTAAAGACTGTCAGCGCCTGGCCGCGATCTCACAACTATTGCAATGTTACCCTGGTGGGTCTCGAGTACGGCCATCCTAGGGTGGAAGTCTAGGTAAGGTTGGATTAAATGTAACATAACTCTGTCGCAGGTTTCATCGTTAACAATCCTTATCTTTCGTTATCTAGCATGGAACTATCGTTGTCCGGGCCGATTCTGCAACAAACGAATGATCTCAGGCTCAGCCTCAAAGGAATCGGACTCAGATTTTGACCTGTGAGCCGTGAAAGTGCTCGGACTCGAGCTCTTGCAGTGCGGACTCGATACTTGGCCTTTACAAGGGCGGATTATAGTAAGCGTGTGCACGCTCGGAGCATGGACTCGCAGCATGGAGTCGTGCGACGCGCAAAATACGTGAGAATTTTTAGTTTCCTGTGGCTATGACACATTTTTTCATGACACCAGGACATGCATCCTGGGACACTGGTGACACACTCGGTCGAGATCTTACAAGTATATATGAATACCCACATCAGCTGGCTCTTTGGCCAGGTAGTATTTCTTTGTGACGTAGCGTAGCCATCGCACATCCCAAGAAAATGACATGGGAAACGCATAATTTTCGAGTCACGAAAAAACTAAAGAGCCCGGGACGGGAACCGGCCCAGATTTCGGCTACCAGGCGTCGCTGCTATACGGGGCTGAGGAATACTGACGAAGTGGAAAACGGAGAATCATCCCGGCAAAACTGTGGATCAAATCACACAAGCTATAGTGTACAAGTCAAGGCAAGCCGTGATTCCATGAGTTTTCGCGCGTTTTTTTCGGACCATGTCTAGCCGGGCTTAAAGTTGGCAGACCCATTTAAAGGCAGCCATCCATCTTACGTGTACGAACCTTAAATGGAAAGGCACCTTCACGCACTCAACTCATGAAAGTAGGATATTCCATTGCGTGGGCGCAACCAATGGAGGGCCTGCGTTGTCATGCTTTCCCAATTTTTAAAAGATGCACTTCGTTCCTCGAAAGTTATCCGCTAGATGCACGTTTTTGTACGTCTTTCCATTTGCAAATATCTACCCGACATTGCATCAGCGTCTCACCCATACCCGTAGTTCTCCCAGAATCTGTATCTGACCCTTCCTGTTACCATACCATTTGGGCACCCAAGGGATTACCCGAGCCCTGATGTCCTCTACTTGCCCCACGATAAGTTCGAACAGTGTAGGTTCCCAAAGGTAGCGAGCTCCGTTCGCTTTTATTTAAATATCATCTTCATAGTGACAGCAGGCACGTCTGTTATCGCCTTACTCGTCCCATGCCGCAAAGGGAGTCTGATTGGTGCATAAAGTTCTGAACTGAACTGAAAGACTGGTTGTGTCGCTCCACCTCTCTTGAATCCTATGACACGCCTCTTCGTTTTGTGCGGCTCGATGGGAGCTGATGGTTCAGAATGACAGAAAATAGATGGCAGCACCACCTGCCAATGCTCTTTAGGTCGGCATTGGATTCGAAAGCGAACAAAGAAGTAAAAGTAAGTATCAACTGAGGCAGAGAACAAAACAAGACTTAAAAACAAAGGAAGATGTTCTGGATAGGGTTATATTAAACTGGATATCTGCATTTTTTGCATAAAGAATAGATGATTGTCTGGATGCTTTTATTTACTGGCCACGACTTTAAGGGACGTCTGGCGCACGATCGGCAAACGTAACGCACACTGTTCCACTTTTGTTCTGCATTCTGAGTATGCTTGTTGTTGAAGTTAAGGCCTGGGTTATCCGCGGATGATTGGTAGCCCACCAATAGGCTTACGTTTTGGAACTTGATATCAGTGAAGCTAGCATGAACAAGACTGGGAAAACTGGGGAGTCTGTTGACTATGAGAATGAGTTATGGTAAGTAGGTAGGGCATGCGCACAGCACGCCGCGTGCTAGTCTGCTGATAAAATGATAGATTCCAAAGTGTCTGGTGAAAATTCCTGCTATAATCTGAAGAAAACAATATAGCGAAAGTCCGTGACTCAGTGCGACTTGAAAATGCATCACATTCATTTCAGATGTGACAAAATACCAGAATAATTACTTGTTTTAATTTCTATTATAGGTTCAGTTCAAGTACTTGAGTTTTAAGGAATCCTTTATTTCACCTTAATTGAAACTATGTGTAAACTTGCATGTTGTGATGCAAAAGTCAAAATAATGACTTTGACACTTTCTGTTGCTCTTAACTCCTGCCACATTTAATCCTGCCTTTGAGCTGCTGTTGATTGGTGTGCTTATTCAGAACTGATGACTATTCCTTGCTTCCTCAGGTCAGTCAATCCCCAGGAGCAAGTAGACTTCAGAGCCAGTGTGGCCCGGCTGCAGGCTGAGGAGGCTGCCTGCCGCCACCAGCTGGCCAGCTGCTCGGACGCTGGTCGGCGTGCACTCTTGCTCAACCGGCTGGGCCAGCTGCTCTATGGCCAGGTGTGGCTTAAGTCGCGGCTAAGTGGTCTGTTGGCATGCATAAATGGTCATATAAATGCTGGTAGTGTCATGCCACCCCTAGGGTAAAAGGCAGCTAGTGGGACATTCCTGATGTCAAAATCAGCCCTAGATCTCACCATCCAAATGCAGCCACGGTAACCCTTGGTCACCGGTCCCTTCAGGTGCGGTTTGACGAGGCGTCGGCGGCTTACACGGAGGCGCTGAGTGAGGACCCGCACCTCGCGGCGGCCGCACACAATCGGGCCACCATCAGCTACAGGATGGGTGAGCAGAGCTGGCCCTGTGGTGGGATGGTGCGCGTGGTATGATGTGGCCGCGGAGGGTTGTCCCATATTCAGCTGTTAGCTACGGTTCAGGTAATTATATTTCTCTAGCCACTTGATCTTTGTGCTGCGAGTGTAGTGTTTGTCTGCTGGCTGAGTTTGTTTCCAGCATGAGGCCTTAATGAAACGAAGTCCGAAATGCGCTGTGAACCCTACGTTTCGCCGCGCTCGTCACCCTGTGTGCTGTCCGACCACCAGTTCCAAGCCCTGCCTGCCTGTCATCCGGTGACCGTGACTCTGACGTCAGGTGAACCCCCTCGCCTCATCCGGCCGCGTCCCCCCCCCCCCCCCCCAGGGTACCTTGCCGAGGCGGAGCGGGACCTGCTGGCGGCTCAGCGGCTGCAGCCGGACAACGTCGAGGTGGCCACCGGCCTGGCGGAGGTGCGCCGCCTGCTGGTCGCCGGCGGATCGGCCGGCCGGCGCGACCGCAGCGCGCGGGGGCCGGTCGCCGTGGAGGACTAAAGCCTCGGCGCCTGACGGGGGGGGGGGGGGCGTCCTGTGCCGACGCCCGCAGGTTCTGTGTCCCCGCGATAAACGGTGGCTGGTGAAGCGGTAAACGACACTTGAGGATGAAATGTAGGATGCGTGTGGACGGGATCATTTTTAAAAATCAAGTGCTAGTACGGGATTTTTAAAAATGTCCACAAACTTTGTATACCTCCTATCATAGCCGCATTAAAGCCCACATAGCCGGTTTTAGCATCGCGTGCTGCTGTGCCGCATCGTTGTGTCGACACAAAACGGGCGCGAGTGTGTTTGTCATGAGACAGTGACGTGCGCTGGAGCTCAGTGTTCCGCCACGGGTCCATGGCACGGTGACTGGGTGGAGCCATGACATGCACGGTGCTCCCTCTCGCAGAGATCACCATGACGTGCTGAGACCCTCAGCGATCCGACAGGCGAGGGCTGTTGCGCCAATGTTTCATGATGTTGCCGGTGCCGCGAAGCGAGGTGTGGACTTTTATATTTCTGTGATACTGTATGACATGTGCGATACTGTTGAGCGGTTTGGCTGGTTGGAAGTGTTCGACTGTGACTTCAGAAGACGTGACGAGGTATTGCTCTTTATGTGACGTGTGGCTATCGAACATGATTTATAATGAGATTGCAACCGATAATATATGACCAGATAATGAGTTATCGTGTCGCTGAGATACATATGTGTCGTTAGGTACATACAAATATGAACTTAAATGTCGAGGGAAATATTGAGTGTGACCTTTGTGCGGCGGTGGTCGCACTCAAATATGTGTAGTGGTGATCGCAGCCAGGCATCCTGTGCTTGCATGCCATGAAATATGATCCGCTAGATCCCATCATTTTCTGGTCCATTCTTTTCCAAATTTGATTGTGTGTTCGAGGTGGTTTGATTTCATGGTGGCACAACAACGGTGCCGGTTTTGTGACGTTGCTTGCACGGGCTATTGAGCTCGCACCATCCTCTTCGCGGCAAAATATAACCGTACGCACGGCATGCAGGTCACTGAAATTTTTACGCGTTTATCCAACACTTAAAATTGCTGTAGGAGGAAAGCTGCAAGGTCCGCGGGGGGGGGAGGGGGAGGAGAACGCTGATGGTGTTATTTCAGAATCATTGTTACTGTCGCTTCATTCACCTTTTACTTATCAGTGGGAAGAGCGGCACCATGTGAAAATAATGAGGCAAATGCGCAACATGTGATTGTGAACAATATCCGCGTCTCGCAGAACGACCATCTTCAGACGTCCTGACTTTCTCAACTGAGAACCAGCGCCTTCCGTGTTTAGTTTTGCAATTAACGCATTCAGCTTGGTCGTCGCAGTTCATACATGGAATGATACTTCAAAATACCGCACCCCGGTAACTTCATGTTTACGGTTACTTCCCTGCAGTGGCATTTCAAGTTGGAGGACCTGCTTTGTTCCTTGTCTGGTCGCCCGGTGCACCTGCCCGGGGCGCCACCGAAGCTGAGTGTCGACACCGGATCCCGGCGGCGTCCTATGCCCTCCCCCTCCCCCCCCCCCCCACCGCGGGCGAGCTCTATCGGTCCGCGCCGGTCACCGTCGTGACCATATAAGGACATGCTGAGCCCGGCGGGCCGCCGCACGTGACGCCCGCTGCGCCGAGCGACCGAGGCCGACGGCCGGGCGGCGCGTGCGGCGAACGGGAGGTAATTCGGTTGCCATGGTTACCGCCTTCCGGAAAAGGAAAAAACGAGGATGAAATGCTTGAGATCGGCTGGGCTTGCAGTCTGCTACGTTTTCTCACTGCATGAGCGCGTGGCGAAGCGTGCCTGCCTGCTGCCCGAATGACAAGTATTGAACGTCCGAGCTATCGTTCCGAGTCGTCGCGCGCGCTTTCCGTGGAACGGCGGTTTGGGAACTTCGAACCATTGCGCCGCGAAACCCGGCTTCCATCGACCGTTCCGTCTCGCGTTCGCTTGCTCCACGTTTAAGGACAAATCTGCAACCAGGGGGAGCATTTCGCCGATTTCGCTTCACCCTGGTCTGCGTACTCCGTACGCAAGGTGTGAAGAGTGGACGCGAGGTGCACAAACGCTTACCCGAGCAACAAAGTCGTGCGATAATTGTTTATATTGTTGCTGGTAAATCACTACAGGACGATATGAATCAGGCGCCTCAACGCTGTCCGTATAAAATCGACATTTAACAACACTTATATATCTGAAGCCAAGCAGAAACGATCATGACACAGAAATGCATGCGGCGGGACTCTCATATCACCCGAGGACCGCCCCTGCCGCTCGGTCCACCCGAGGCACGAGCCCCCGGCGCCACAACGTGGAGCCCGTGTTCCGCGTCGCGCGCACCGCGATCGGGCCGTCTCATTTCGCGGCCGCGCGCGCAGCGACCTCCTGACGCGCCCCGGCGCCGCTGGCAACAGCGTGCTCGCTGAGGTGCGGCGACGGACGCGGCGGCACCTCGATCTCACGCGTCTGACGGGCTGTCCGTGCCGGCCGCCGGGCAGCGCGAGGCGCACGGCCGGCGCCTGCCGCCCGCCCGGGTGGTCCCCGACCGCGTGCTGTGCGCCGAAGCCCTCCGGTCCCGGCCCTGGTCCGCCGCCGCCGCCGGCAAACGCCTGGCTCGACGCGGCGCCGGTCGGCCGGTCGGCCGGCACGCTCTCCCCCCACACACAACGCCCCGGAAGCCGTATCACAGAGAGGAATGCGTCCGGCGGCGCAACGCCGCCCGCCCCCAGTGACGTCACCGGCCCGGTCAGAGGCGGGTGGTGTCGGCGCGCGGCGCCGGCACCGGCGGCGGCGCCGTCGGCGGGTGCGACGTCGTCTTCGGGCGCGGCCGCGCCTCGCCCGCCGGCAGCGCCCAGCCGAACGGCGGCGGCGCGCCGGCTGAAACACAGGTGCCGGGTATTGTCAGCAGATGGCGCGCAGCTGAAGCGATGAAGGTGGATGGTACGGGCGCAAAGTTCCTCGGCAGGACCAGGACTGAGTTGCGTCACGACAAAAGTTACCCACGCATTCTTTGTACCCCGTAACTGAAAGCGACAGCAAACAGTCGTGGGCGACGAACTTGTGAGGAGAGCCGCAAGACAATGCCAGGATCCACCGGGACGGCACACACACATGACGCCAGCACACAAGTCCCCAACAACACCCGACCGTCTCTCGACGAGCGGTCCGACCCCGTCACCACCGCTCCCACGCGGGGCCCGACCCAGTCCCGAAACCCGCGACCAGGCATCAGCCACCTCAGCAGCCCCGCAGCAACCACACCACAGCGGCCCGTCCCGCGTCAAGCGTCGGCGTTCCCGACCAACGCTGGCGGCACGGCCGGTCGGCAGCTCGCCGGCGGGAGGCGGCGGGCGGCCGGCGTCTCACCTGGTGGGCCGTCCACGGTCGGGGCAGGCTCCGGCGGCGGCGCCGACGCCTGCGGGCGGGCGGGGCCGGTCACGCGCGGCGGGAAACATGTTCACAGCCACAGAACGGCGGGTCGACGTAGAAAGCGCGCGAAGACGGCGAGGGGGGGGGGGGGCGTGGTTCATGCAGCGCAAACGGAAGCGGAGCGCGTCCGTCACAGGACGGACCGCGCTATGAGCGCTGTGCGGGACCTTGTATGGGTTTGAGCTGTCTCTGTATACTCTGGCGTTCGTGCTGTCATCTCAGAGGCGCTTCCGCCAGAACAGCTCAAGCGCGACTCACAAAATACGACAACGGTCAAGACGCGTCGCATCACGCACGCGGAAGGAACGGAGCGAGCGAAAGTGTCGCATAGCGTGACCCGCACTGTGCGACGCTGTGACAACACAGACTGTGAGAAGGAAGCAGGTCTCACGCAGACCACACTGTGACAGGGCAGATCTCACACAGAGCAGTGACAGGGCAGCAGATCTCACACAGGGCACAGTGACACTGTAGCAGATCTCACACAGAGAACAGTGACAGGGGTACCGGTCTGACCTCGCCAGAGTTTCTGCTCCGTCTCAGTGTGCCGGGACGCTCTGGTAGTGCCGGCTTCTGCCGCTGCGTGGCGACACCGTCGACCGGGCTGAAGCTCTGGGCACGCTCCACGATCTGGCCACAGAACGCACGCTCAGTTACCCGCCGCGCCTGCGCTGTTGGTCATTTCGTCGTCCTTGACTATGGCGAACTCCCGACACAGATTACGGACGCGTTCGTCAGAGGCATCGGTTCAAATAACCACTAGGGAGTAGCTGCAGAGCGTGGGTCGATTGACAACGTGCCGTGTCCACGGTTGGAGTCCGAGACAACCCGGGACATCCCGAGACACACCGACAAACTCGTCTCGCCTCCCCGCACGGCAGTGTGACGGCCTGCCCGGCAGACGCCAGCACCTAAGCGTCTCACACGCACAGAACAGGGCGAGCCGCGGCACGGAGCGCTCCCGCCATCTCGCGCGGCCGAGCCAACAGAGGCAGCCGGCGCGCGCGTCCCATTCTCTCACCTTGGCCGGCGGCGGTGGCCGGTCGGGTCGCACCGTCTGCGTGGCGCGTGGCGCCGGCACCGGCGGCCCGGCGCCGGCGGCGGTGCGCGGCACTGGCGCCGGGGACGGAGCCGGCGCCGGAGCCGGAGCCGGAGCCGGCGCCGGAGCCGAGGCCGGGACCGGACCCGAGGCCGGGACCGGAGCCGGAGCCGGAGCCGTATCCGGAGCCGAGGCCGGGACCGGAGCCGGAGCCGGAGCCGGAGCCGGGACCGCAGCCGGAGCCGGTACGGTGGGGACACGCCACGGGCAGCGCCGTAGGCCGCTCCGGCCTGACGAAGCCCGCCGGCGCCGCCGCGGTCGCCGTCTGACCCGGCGCCGGGGGAACGGCGGCGGCCGCGGCCGCGGGCTGGGATGGGCTCGGGGTCACGTTGCGGGCGGAGGACGGGGTTACCTTTTGGATCGGGGCAGGAGAGATGGCCGGGGCTGCGGCCGGGCCGGCGGCGACGGCCGGTGTCGGCATCACGCCCAGCGCCGGCGTCGCCGTCTTGACCTGCCCGGCAGTCTGTCCGACAGTCTGACCCGCAGTCTGACCGGCCGCCGGCCCGACGGCCGGATCGGGCGGCTCCGTCGGCTCCTGCAGCAGGCCGGCGGCGATCGCGGCCGACCGCTGCACGATGTCGAGCGCGCCGCCGGGCCCGGCCGGCCGCAGCTCCGCGTCGGGCCGCGCCGGTGTCGCAATCGTCTGCCTGTGTGCCGGCGGCGCCGGCGCCGCCTGCTTCTTGCGCCGCAGCGTCGGGCGCGGGCTCTCGCAGTGCTGCGTGCTGAGGGGGAGAGACGGGTCGGGTGAGACGCCGGCCGTGTTCACTGGTGGTGACGCATGAAGTGGTGATAGTGTTGGTGTTGTATATTGAGCGCTGAGGCGGGAGAGCATTTCTCGCAGCGTTACCAGCTGAAACAATGACTCGGTTTTTATCGCAGCGCTGCCACCGTAAACAATGATGACGGCGAGCGCATGTTAAGTTTATTTTATGCACCCGCGGGCGAAGACCGCATAGCAAATCAGCGGCGATCTGGTGCAATGCCCGTCGCTGCCGCCAGCACGGAAATGCGCCGCCGCACGGGTGACTGCCACAGCACACTCGGCTGCAATGTCCAGAAGCAGTGCGAGCCCTGTTCGGACTTGGCGTTTACTCGCGCAGCCGCCGACCGTACGCGCACAAACCCGCATTAAGGCGAAACCGACCTGCGAGAAGCCCCGCGTGCCCCACCACCGTAAACCCGAGCGCGCTCGCTGCGTTCCACGCGGCCACGAAACCCAGCGCCGCCCGACGTTCGTGGCCAGCAGAGCGATGCGTCGTCTCACATCCCTCGCGACCTACCTCGGCTCCGATGTTAGACTGGCCGTGCTGCCCGTGGACTCCCCCGCCGCGGACGAGTCCACCGCGATCACGCCACTGTCGCTGCTCTTCGAGCGGTGGTGGCCTTGAGAGCGGACAACGCCATTGCCGAGCATGGGGGAGTCCGGCGTCGGTGAGGTTTCAGTCGTTACTTCGCGAGGGTAGGTGATGAAGAAATCCACGTCTGTCGGCACGGCGGCAGATCAAGACGGGCCACGACATGCCAACACCCTGTCCCGCGAGCCAACCATACCCTAACCAACAAAAGACACCTTCAGGCTCAATAATTTAACATCCTCTGCACAATCAGCGAGCAGCCCTAACAGGTCTCCCACTGAGAGAGGCTAGCACTCACAGCATGCAGCTCTCAGCCACATCAGGTCACATCACAACGCGGGTGGCCACTGGCAATAGCGCAACAGCTTCGCGCCAATGATAGCCGGGGGAACTGAACCGCAGTTTGCGATTGGTCTCAGACCACGCCTTCGCGGTCGCACAGGCATGAACGGAGCATGACCTGTGTCCGGTGACGGAATCACCCAGAGTTCACTTCTGCGCACGTGCAACCCCTCATGGAAGCAGCGGAGAACGACAGAAGCGTCAGGCCGGGCCAGAAGGAACGCCATCTTTAAGCCCCATGGAGCAGCTCACTCAACTTCCGCTTCAATGCCCGTTTCGTTCTATCTGTCGCCACCTGTTACATGTTCAGTTCACTTCCAACTCTTGGCGGCTTTGATACCAAACGGCAACAGTGCAAGGACACGTCCGCTCGCTTCACTCTACCTGTCGCCACTCGTTGCATGCGCGTTTCACTTCTAACTCCCGACGACTTCAGGACCAAACGGGAACAGCGCCAGACCACACCCGCCCGGGGATCCCGAGCCTCGTCTCGGCGCACACCCACCTTCGGGGAAGAACCAGTCGCAGTGCGCTATCAGCGAGTCCACCACCAGGCTGTGGGTGCCGGTGGCCGTCATGTTGAAGCCCTCCTCCAGCCGCGTCCACAGCAGGTTGGGCGCCATCACGATGGCCATGTTCTGCGTGGTCATCTTGTTGACCTGCGCGAGGCGGCGGGGGTCACCGGCCGGCGATGGCGGGGGGGGGGGGGGGGGGAGGCACAGCTCAGATCGACGCCGCGAGCGACGGGGGCTGGTCCGGCCACTCCGAGCGGCTCGAGCGGCCGGAGTGACGGGCATGGCCGGAGTGGCCCCAGGCGTGCGGTCAGACGGCGCCGGGTATTGGCAGAGACGATCGATTCCGGGTCATGTCCGGATCGGGTCCAGCCCGCAGATCACGCGCAACCTCGGCGGTTCAGTCAAGCGCTCGCTAGCCATCACGTGGGAGGCCACGCGGTGGGACGTGAACGGACAGGATGCCGTCGTGCAGAACGGTCACCTGCCAGTCCAGCGGACACACCAATCAATCCCGACGGCCGCTCACCATCCGTGAAAGAACGCGACTGATTCAGCCTCCCGTTGACGAGCGTCGCATCAGTCACCAGCCCAATCTCTCAGTCTCAGCCGCGCCCGCCCAGACTCGCCTGTTTGTTTTTGCAGAGCAGCGCCAAGAACTTGATGAGGTAGCGCAGGTTGGTGTAGTGCGCCTCGGGCAGCTGGTGCAGCACCTGCCAGAGCGCCTGCAGTCGCGCACCTTCCTCCTGCCGGCGCGACCGCAGCGTCAGCGTCACGTCCAGCGGTCCGGCATGACGTCACGCCACGGAACGGCGTGACCTGAGGTCACGACCCGCGTGACCTTAGATCACGGCCCGCGACACATGAAAGATGGCATGACACATGACAAATGACATGTCACATGACACAGAGGAGCGTCATTTGACGGCGCACACCACGACGCCCTGTGTGCCTCGGGAGTGCTCGTCGAGGATATGCGAGCCGGAGCAGTGACTAGCCGGGTGCACGCGGGCGAGCTCGGGCGCGCCTCGGTACGCCGCCGGCCGTCCGTCACTAACGGCCCGCTTGCTCCGCACGAGGTGGCTTGTCTGAGTGCCATCCGTCAATAACAACATCACGTGGTCGCTTGCGATCTCCGCACAACTGGTCGTTGCGTTTAATTCAGCGGATGTCTCTGTCCACGATGTTTTCGGCTCTGTTACTTTGTGTGACCCCGGTCAAGAGCATCTGCCGCTTCACCGCGGTCACGCGCCACACCCGCCTGGCCACACCATCCCATAACCCGTCCGTCGTCACACGTCACTATCTGCCGTCGTCTCCGGCCCCACCACCTTCCCCGTCCCATCCCAGTTCCCGCCCCCATCCCCGTCTCCGTCTCCGTCTCCGTCTCCGTCTCCGTCTCCGTCTCCGTCTCCGTCTCCGTGTCCGCCTCCGTCGCCGTCTCCGTCCCCGTCCCCGTCCGCATCCCATTCCTGCACCGTCCCGTCCCCGTTCCCGTTCCCGTTCCCGTTCCCGTTTCCGTCCCCGTCCGTCCCCGGTGGTGCCGAACCGCACCTGTACCCGGGCGGAGGTCATCCACTCGTCGTAGAAGTCCGTCGTCATCAGCGGCTCGGGCAGGTCGCGCAGGTACGCCTTCAGCGCGTCGGCCACCACGTGCGGGTCCAGGTAGTCCAGCATGTGCGCCGCGTCCACCAGGCCGGCGTCGAAGCAGCTCTTCAGCTTCCGCGCCTTGGAGGTGCCTGCCAGCCACGAGCAGGCGTGAGCGGAGCGCAAGAGCCGTTGCGTCGGCTGGTGGTGGTTCGTTAGCAATGGAGCGAACGTGAGGGCGCTGTCTCTCCATGGTGCGTCGATGGTTTGTTGTGAGCTTAAGAATACATGCCGCGAAACTGCCTACGACTTTGCTAAGGGGCCGCTTGGGGTCTGCGAGAAAAAACTTGTATTTGGAGTTCGAGAGAGGGTGTTTAGTAACGGTCTTAGCACGGCGCAACCCCCCCCCCCCCCCCCACACACACTCACTTCCAGCCACCCTGAAGAGGCCCTCCTCGTCGCCACTGAAAAGACCCTCCTCGTCGCCACCCCCACTCACTGCCGGCCACCCTGAAGAGACCCTCCTCGTCGCCAAACCCACTCATTGCCGGCCACCCTGAAGAGACCCTCCTCGTCGCCAAACCCACTCACTGCCGGCCACCCTGAAGAGACCCTCCTCGTCGCCAAACCCACTCACTGCCGGCCACCCTGAAGAGACCCTCCTCGTCGGCGCACCCACTCACTGCCGGCCACCCTGTAGAGACCCTCCTCGTCGCCACCCCCACTCACTGCCGGCCACCCTGAAGAGACCCTCCTCATCGGCGCCGATCTGGAGGAGGCGGCAGACGCACATCTCGAGCGGCAGCGCCACCTGCCGGTTGGTGACGCGCAGGTGCTCCTCCAGCGAGAGGCCGAACACGGGCTTCACGGCCGCGGCGTCCTGCCGGCCACGCGGCGGCGATCAGCACGGGGGTAAGAGGAGGCGCGGCTGGACTGAGACACGCGCTGGACACACGCGGACTCCTCAGCGTGTCTGCAGACAGCGCACGTTTTGCCCCGCGCGGCTGATCTGAGCTGTACAACACCAGTGTGAGCCGCCACAACTCATGTCGTGTACGCTACCCGCTCGTCACGAGCGTCCTTTGCCATGGCCACTTCCCGGTTTGTTCCACACCCGCACCCACCTTGCGAGATGGCGCTGAAAACCCAACC